GCCTGGTGAGGCTCGTGTCAACCGCTACGCTCTCTTCATTGAAGAGGCTGGTGGCATGGAGAAGATCCACGATTGCCAGAACAATGCCAACGAGGAGATCTACATGAAGGCTTACAACATCATTGAGAAGTACTTCTCTGACGAGGACGAGGCCGGTGGTGACATTGAGGAGCTTGCTCCCCAACAGACCCAGACCGGATTCTCTCTCGGCACTGGCCAGCAGCAACCTGGTGGCTTCAACTTCGGCAACGGCGGTGATACCATGGATATGTAAAGACTTGTCTTTTCCCATGCACTATCTACCTCTCTGTATCTTCCTTTTTTCAAAACCAAACGTCGAAGCTGCACCCAGCGTATCCTCGCATGGGTGGGGCACCACTGGCTACCGAGAGGCCAGGTTGCTCGCATACAGCGTCGACGCCTCTCGTGCGCTTCGACCAAGCTACTTCTCGGTCTAGCGTTGCGTCTAAACAGTTTCTGGTGCTCATTTGATTCCCTCATCTTCTTTTGTCACGAATTTCGCTTCCCCTCCCTTCTTCTTTTTTTTTTTTTTGATTTCACGATAAACAAGATTCACCATCATGTATCCCCTCCCCCACCCCTTTAGCATCCTCATACACAGGCGCATTTGTTTGCAGGATCGGTTTTCTCTCTCCAGTTACGTTAATGTCCCCTGACTATGGTGTTCCTTGACGGGGCATTGGTCTCCCGAGCAGGACCCATCCTCGCTCGCTGGCAACAGGGGTATGGTGGCATATTTTGCTCGTACACCTCTCATAATCTGCTCAGACAGACCATGCCACTGAAAATGTTATTGCGCTGTTCTCGTGGTACACTTTGTAGTTCGCCAGGAAAATGCCAGATTTCATTTGATCAACCTTTTTTTCCTGTAGCTGTTATCCCAATAAATTTTTACTAGTTTCCCCAGACAATTTGTATCCAAGGAGATAATTTGATACTAGAATTGTAAGATTTCAAAGTTAAAAATACCACCTGGGCAACTGTTAAGAAGGCCCAAGGCAGTGAAATGAAATACAATCGAAGTCTACATGTACCAAATGATGGCAGAACCAAGTAGGTCCTACATACTACATTTCATATGAAGATTTTAAAATTACAATAAAGACCAGAGGGGAATAGATTGCGATCAAGTCAATAGAGTAGCAAAAAAGCAAGAAGAATCAAAAGAAGTGTATAAGATACAGGTTGAAAAGAAGTCCATATCCACGCAAACAAGAGCAAAGAAGAGAGATACAGTTAATCCAAGCCATAATCCATGAAAAAGAGAGAAGCTAGAGGGGGAAATAAGGAACGAGAAAAGAAAGAAACATGCAATGAAACGACAGGAAAACAAGATCGTTTTGTGCAGGCGCACGTTTACGTCAAATAAGACAAACTAGATCAGTCACCCATCACCTCATCCTCATCAGCCTCAGGCGCAGGAGTCAGCTCCTCGTCCTCGTCCCTATTCTCATGCTCAACATCCTCGACAAGTCCGCGCGCACGTAGATCCTCCTCCTCATCTTCCTCAATAGGCTCAGGGTGGTCATGCTCATCGTCGTCATCAATATGCTCGGCAGACTTAAAGTCTTTGGCAGGGGAAGCAGCAAGCTTCGCAGGCTGCTTGCCTTTGGCGCGGGGGGCACTGCGGGGCTTACGCTCTTCCAGATAAGACAGGACCTCTCGGTAGTTGTGACCGAGGGCGGTCTTATTGCGGAGGAGACGCTTCTTCAGGGCGCCGCGCTTGGAGCCAGAGGCATCAATGATGCGGGCGATTATGGCGAGGACGAGCTTGCCTGTCAGCTCGCAGAGGCGCTGTTCGGCGATGATGCTGTTGCGGAGGCGGTCGTTGATGACTGCTTCATCTTCGGAGTCGCTGGCTTCATCCTCGGAGTCGAGCTCGTCTTCCGAGGCTGGGACGTCGTCGTCTGCGGGCTCGAGGTTGAGCCTTGATTTCTTGGCAAATGTGCGCTCAGCTGTGCCGTGGATCTTGGTGATGAGGGCTTGGGTGTCAGGTCCGATTTCATGGATTAGGCCCTGGGTTTGTAATAGGACGTCTTCGTCGTTGCCGCTGCCTTGGCCAATGTTGCGGAGTGTGCTGAAGAGCGTTTGCAGGTCTAGGTATGTTGTAGTTGCTGTAAAGCGGAGGTCATCCAGTCCGGGGCGCTTTTCCATGATGTTGACGAGCGTTGAAGCGAAAGTTTCCCGGCTCTTTGTCAATGCTTCGAAGTAGGATGTGCTGAAGGAGGCCTTTCCGTCATTCAATGCCGTGGACAGTGCCTGCACCTTCCACATGAAATAGAAAAGCAACGACCGGATACTGCTTGATACCAACTCGTTTTCCGCCTTGGCGGTGTCCTCATCGTCATCTTCCGTACGCAGACCACGTTCGGCAAGACGAATGAGGGTGTTGAATGGGACTTCAGCATGATCCTTCTTGGATTTCGACTGTGGATTAGGGGCAATTTCGAGAATGGAGGTGCAATCTGTGATACCGGCAAGGTTTGAAATTCGAGAGACAGTGTTGGTCAGGTCGGTGAGAGTGGGATCTGATATTGAGCCACCTTCTTGGACGTCCTTCTTCCGAGACAAGGCAGCCAGTGCCTCCACCATATCATCCCATAGCTCTTGGACCTTGCTCTCCAGTGCCTCTCGCATCTCCTCGGAGCTCTTGGCATGCAAGAAAGCCACACTAGCTTCAGCCAAAACGTCTTGATTCGAATGAGTCAAGAATTGCTTGTTGATATCATTGAGCAACGAGGTATAAGCCGTAGCGTCTTTTTGGAGATCCTGGATTGTGTTCAGGTCCACAAGGTGTTCTAGTCGCAGAACGGCAGAAGCAGCTTCCGGTGTGGACCCAAACTTATTGAGAAGCCCTGGGATGATCTGGGCAAGGTTGTGAGAGAGTTCTTCTTGGAGCTCGGAAATCTTGGCTGTCAGAGCCTTGGTCTTGCGGCCCCGCTTGTCGATATCGGACTTGCCGATGTCAAGAACACGGAGCTTGACTGCAGCACAGAGTACCTCCAGGAGGATGGTTTCTTGTCCCTCCTGCATTTTGTACATGTTCTTTACAACCCCCGCAGTATCATCTTCGGATGGCGTGTCAGTGATTTGAGAGTGGTCGTAGAGCAGATAACCAGCCAGTGACGGCCATTGAGAAAGCTCTTCTAGGTGGGGGAAGACGGCTTCAGTCGCGAGAGCAAAGCGGGACTCTACGGCCGCCCCCAGCAATGTGTCCCGAGACATTGGCTCTGGTTGCTGTTCGGCTTCTTGTGCATCGTAGGCCTGGAACAGCTCGGTGAGGCACTTAAACTTGATCCATGAGTGCTTAGGCGATTCATAATCGTCTTCATCATCATCAGCCAGCAATTCGGTGATCTCCTCTCCTACTTCCTCGGTGATTGACTCGTACGCATCTTGAACGTTGGCAACAAAGAAGTGTCCAGCTGTTTTCCGAATTCGGGGGTCCAAATCAAATACCAGTCGACCGACAGCATCGATATCATTTGGCTCGAGTAAGCCCCCTTCACGAAGGTGGTTGAGCAACTCAATCGCAGCCATACGCACCGAGACATCAGCATCTTGAACAGCAATCTCCACGATTCGCTGCCGGAATCGCTCAGTGAATGAGTGCAAACCAGCAATGTTGTCGCGGTTCTCATAAAGGCTCAGAAGCTCAGTCAACGCAACAAGTCTGGTCTGCGCAATGACATCGGCGAGGGTCCATCCCAGGTATCGCAGATACTGGCCCTCGAAGAAGATTTCTCGGTATGTGCGAATCCATCCGCCCAGAGCTGTCAGACACTCGGCACGGATCTGACCGTCAATGTCCCGGTAGCGATGGACAAATACAGTATCAAATCCATCCTGCAGGAACTCGTCTAGTCGCTCCACCTTCTGTTCACCCTCTGACACAGCCGTTTTAATTGCTTCCACACGACCCTTGTTTACCGTCTTCTTTTTCTTCTCACTTTCGAGTTGCTTTCTGGAGGTAGACACGCTTGTCGTCACCTCGCGCGCAATATCACATAAAGCATTCATAATTGCGAGAGATATCAAGGTCGCCGTATGCCGGAATGGTCGGCATTGTGATGTTGACATGGAAGAGATCCAGATCTGAATGTTTTCAAGCAGGGTATCATCGGTGTATAGGATGGAAGAGGCATGGAAAGTTTGGATCAGTGCGACAGTGAATTCTTCAAGGAGGACTGAGAACGCTCTGAACTTCTTCGCTTTCGAGATAATAGGGTATTCGGTAATGCCTTCTGCTTGGTAAAGGTTCTGCAAGTCTTCGATTCGGCCCGGGGCATTATCAATGTCTTCTACTTCATTAATGTCGATCTCAAGATCGGTACCTGTGCATCGAAGGATGAAGTTGACGAGGTCCCGCATGGCCTGCCCATTGTTGCGCTGATATTGAGACAACCACTGAGCAGCCACTGTATCGGCATTGCTGTTTTTCCCAAACACCTCGGCTGACTCTGGTATTAGCCACGGGTTGACGTCGCACACACAAAAAAATTTATCACTCACCGAACAATCCGCGTTCACCCGCCGCGAGACTAGGCCGTACTTTCGGTTTCCGGGGACGAGCAGCGGGCAGTCGGCCATTGGTAGCTGGTCTGAAGGCGAGCTGTCTCCCTAACGCGTTACTTGCAACCTTGGGTTTCTTCGAAGCGTGCGATCCCTTGGTCTTGGGTTTCGATTTGGATTTCTTAGCACCAGCTCGACGTGCAGCGCGTCGCTTCTCTTTCAATTCCTCCTCATCGGTCTCGTCGTCGCCGGTATCATCACTGTCGGACTCAGACACGTCCTCATCGCCGTCCTCACGCGCCTCGCCTCGCTTGCGCTTTCCACCGGCAGCTTGTTCCTCGGCAGAATGTGTAGTCTGCGAGAATACTTCGGGTCGTCGCGTCTGTCGACCGGATTTGCGTCGGTCTTCGGCGGGGGTCGATGACGGGCCACCGGGGCTTGATAGAGGTGGATTGTCGATATCCATAATGTTGGGTGGGTGTGTTATATGGGTATTCGATCAGATAGATAAGCCTGCTAACCAGATTAATGGCTTTTAACAAAGTTGGCAGATGTCGCCGCAGTTCAGGTCGGGGACGCGCTCGTGCAACGCGCGGGTCTGGTACGACCAAGCAAACAGAAGTTGGGGGGAGATATGAGGGAAGTCTGCAATTCGAGACGTCGAATATTGGCGAGACGCGCTCTGGCCGTGTTGAGACGAGGTCAATCAAACGGAAGCACTTGGGCAGAAAACGGTCCGGGTTTCAGCGTGGGGGAGACGCGACATCGTGCCTTGAGGCCTGAGGTTGCCTAGATTATGTAACTAGTTCAGCCTCAAACATTCGATTTATTATCACCCGATGTTCTTAATATTTTTTTGTTCTCTCTGCCCTTTCAATTTCTTCTATCTGGATAACACCCTCACTAGCTAGATATATAGGTCTGGACCACTTTTTTCTTAGGCATGACCGTGCGGGGGAGTAAGGCAAGAATAGGATAGACTGAAAAAGCTCGGAGCAAAGCCCCCGTCTTAAGCCCCCGTCTTCATACTTTAGAACATAGTGGCCGCACAGAGTGATACTGCGAGTCATCCAAGCAGCCAAAGGGTTCACCAAAAGCCAGATTGCCAATGATGTCAAAAGTCAGAAAGTTCAGTCAACGCACTAGATCCAAGGGCTTGCTCTCATCCTTTCTGTCAGCATATTCTCCTAGTCGGCGAATGAAGAAGATCGATATATCCAAGAATCAGCTTCTTCTGGCCGCGTAACGATCGCTCCGAAAACGCATGGGATAACAGCCGCTTCTGGCGTGAACGATTCGCGTCTCTGGCATTGACCAGGTTGGCAGCAACCCCGCTAGAGGAAGGAATGCAGAAATGAGGATCCTTGCCAAAATAGAGCTCCGGACTTGCGGTGTGAGTGTATATCCGTTCAAGCCTGGGCGTCCCGGTAGGTCAAAACATTGGGACGAATGTAGGCCACGTCTCCATAGCGGTCATGCAATTCCTGGGGCTTAAAATGGACCTCGCCAGTGAGTGACTACTTGATATAGGGAAGATTAGATATTGCCGCCAGTTTGGGGACTGGGAATTCGCTCAACGGGTGAAAGAAGAGCCTCCACATGAGACGCCATGATATCCCAGCGATGGCCTGCCATAGATAGTTCGTCAACCTTTCATACGTGGTCTTGAAGTATAAGTAGGTTAGGACTTACAAGGGAGGGAGGTATCGCACTCAACAGCATGCTAAGTAAGATGTATTCGAGGGCACATGGATAAACAGAGATTACCGCAAGACTGAAGTCATTATTGAAAGCATTTACGTCCCATCTATGCACTATGCAATGCTATCTGCAGCCTTTCCTCGGACCTCATCTGCCTTTGTACCGTCGAACAGTAGACCCGTCATGCCAACCTCCTGTGTGGCTAGGGTATTTTCCTTTTTGTCATCGATAAAGATTGCCTCGGAGGACGCTGTGCTGGTCTCTTTCAAAACGTGTTTATAGAAACAATGATCCGGTTTCCGCATGCCGACATATGCCGAAGCAAATATTGCTTAGCCTCTGGTAACACTGGACGCTCGTCATTCGGCAATGTTCGTAGTAGAACCAGATCTTTGAGTGGGTGATGGTTCGAAGAGTGTTTACGGGGAGGTTGGAGTCTATTTTGGGTTTCCATTGGAAGAGGACGTCACCCATGTCAAAAAAAGTCTGCTTTGTAGGAGAACATTGTAACTGAAATGGGTAGGCTATGGATTTGGGAAGCAGAGTTGCTGGGCATCGGACTATTTGAACAAAGTCCCGTGTTTGAATACTGAACCTCGCTGACGGTAATCCAAGGTTGAAAATTAAACATCGACAAGAATGCAGAGAGCTCGTAATACTACCTTACAAATAGAACTCTCAAATGATATATAACGTTAGAGATGTAGGATCCGCGAGAGGGTCCGATATCTCTGGCTATGCTACAGATTGTCTCCTTTTACATATCTCGTCTGTACAATGGTGTAGCCATCTTTGTCTCTTGAACTTTTAGCTAGTATCTGCTGCGACTGAACACTTCTTTTCGATCACGAGATTATCTAGTATCATTTGATTAGTGGGGATAATAGCTATGAAACTGTAGTGAACCTTTCTATCTGGTCGAGGGTATCTTGATCAATTGGTGTGTACTTTAATTTAGTGTTCTTATAGATAATGTTCATTATATCGTTTCAGGTCAAATAGATCGGATTATCAGTCTAGAGTCCCCAATGGCAAAGGCCGACTATTCTTGTATAGATGTAGGTAGAATTGGTCCAATCGAAGAAGCTGAAGGGTGATATAAGTAGTGCGACTAACATTGAGTGAATGCAATCTCTTTCCAATGTCTAATCCTGCTACTAAAACTAATTATAGAGCTTTCGAAGGTTCGTTCTAATTAGCTAAGGGCTGCAGGTATTTCGAATTAGATCCAAGGGGATATTATCAGCAGACCCGGTTTAAAAATGAGCTATAGGGGAAGTATAGGAAAAACAGGCGATTACGATTAATTGAGTGGAGTAATCCAAGCATCCATACCGAGTACTCCGTACAGAATTGTATGTAGCGAGCTTTAGTAAGAATATATATATGTCCCATGATGCCTTTTAAATAGTGAAGACTATAATAAGCCGTGCAGATCATAGGCTGGGCAAATGACATGTTGCATCTGCCAAGGTAAATCCTCCACGTCTCACGCCAGTGCGGAGATACTCTTTGTCATAGAAACCCTCAACCCTTCATTCTCTGCCAGTGATGTTGGTGATTTGACTGATTTTATGTTTCTAATGCTCCGGAGTCCAGAAAGCCAAGGAAATCAAGTGAAATCAAGTGAAATCAAGTTGGGAATCCCCCCGCTTGAGTTTGACGCATGTGGGTATCTATGACTAAGGAATCGTCATTCTCCCAAAAGGGCTTTGCTTTTATATACTCCAAGTTCCCCCTCGAACTCGGATAACATGGCCTGGCTTCATTGCTCAATACAAACATTATACTGTCAAAGGATCTCTTCTTCTTACCTATAACACCTATTAACCACTCTTCGCCTTCCTCAAAAATCTCACATCCATCATGCGACAACCAGCAATCCCCATTCCCTCGCCCTTTCAGTCTTCCATTGCGAAGCCAGGGCAGGGCAAAGTCGTTCTCTCCCTCCTCCCACCAAACAATCCCACCCTCACAACTCTCACCTATAAATACCCATTGAAGCTGGTCCCGCGCACCGGTGGCTTCGTCCCATCCCCAGACTCCTCCGCCCTCTCAGACACACGTCCCTCCAACCCCGTCCACCTATATCTCCTCACTTATGGCGGCGGCCTCCTGCCGGGCGATCACATTGAAGTATCCATCACGCTCGAGCCCAAGACGCGAATGGTGGTAACAACGCCCCAAGGCAGCACCAAGATCTTCAAAACAAACCCAAACAACGCCGGCACCGCCCCAAATGTAATCAAAGGCTACCGGGATCAAATGCCCGCAAACGACCACCTCTCCGACATGAGCCAGCAAACCCTCGACGTCAACATCGGCCGCCAAGCAGCCCTCTGCTACCTCCCAGACCCCTCCGTCCCCTTCCAACATAGCCGCTACGCCCAACTCCAAACCTTCACCGTCGACGCCACTGCAAAAGGCACCGAGCGCAGCAGCCTCTGCGTCCTAGACTGGGTAACACAAGGCCGCACCTCGCGCGGCGAGGACTGGAACTTCCATTTCTGGCGGGGCCGCAACGAAGTCTGGGCCGAAGACGACAAAGGCAAACGCAGACTCCTCCTCCGCGACTCGGTAATCCTCGACGATGAATCCGGAGACCTGGAAGATACCGCATCCGACGAAATCGAGATCGAAAACGAAAACACAACCTATAACACCACCCATACCGGTCTAGAAAACCCCGTCGATATGCCGCCACAGGCGCCGGCCGGTCTAACGCCGCTGAATATCATCGCGGAGCGCACGCGCCCGCATGGCGTTGTCGGCACGCTTATTCTCTCCGGCCCTGTATTCGAGGCGCTTGGTTCGTTCATGTTGAATCAGTTCCAGTCGCAGCCTCGGATCGGTAGTCGCAATTGGTCGGACCATGCGCCGTCGTCGGTGCCTGAGCCCTCGATCAGCCAAAAGGGTGATGTTACGTGGACGGCTGCGCGTGTCCGCGCTGGCTTCGTGCTTGTCAAGTTCGGTGCTAAGGACTTTGAGACTGCGAAGCACTGGCTCGGTGGTCTGATTCGGGAAGAGGGTAGTGTTATCCGCGAGTTTGGTGAAGAAGCGCTTTGCTGTCTATGAAATATGCCATCCACAGATTAGTTATATTTGATGTGTTTTGGTGTTGAGGGGGCTCTCCGCTGGTCGAGGGCCTGGTGACGCACTATATGATCTTTATTATCTCAGTTTGACTGGAGGTTGTTTTGGGGCTGTGTCCTTGGTTTATGTGATTTTAATTTGATTGTACTGGAAGCATCATGGCGTCAATGCTGGATATCGGCCACCAAGGGCATTGGGAAACACGTCCGAGGTTGAGGAATAACATTACCGCTCCTGCGCGGAATGCGACAGAGACCAAAATTATGATTATGGCGAATTTGAACCGAAGAATCGTTTTCATCCGCACTATTTTCTCTTCTGTTATCAAAGTAGTAGTGGTATCGGTATCTCGTCAGCTGCATACATATGTAAAACTTCGAAACAAGTAGTCTATCAACAAAATAAAGCAATATAGTCAAGTAAAAAGACGAGGTATCGTAGATAAGACAAGAAAACTCCAACGCCAGCCAATCTAGACCATGAGCCCATAGCCATCACGGCCACCAATCGAAGACACTCGTATTCCAATCCCCCTTAGTAGCATCGACCAAATCATCAACATTCAGAATATCCACACCCTCCTGCGCAAGCACGCGCCAGATATGATTCCGCAGACTGCGAGGCCAACTCGGCAGCGCCCAGTAGCGCACTTTTAAGCCATGCTGGTGCGCAACACGCACCTGGCTGCGGATACGGTCCATCTGGCGCTGCGTGAAGTGGAAGGGCCAGGGACGGCCGATTGACTTTTTGAAAGACACCGAGGCATAGAAGCTGTTCGAGGTGTTGAAGGTGGATGCTGTGATGATATCCGGCATACCAGATTGGCCTTGACCTAAATCTGTGCCTGGGATGAGAGCTGCATCTAGCTGGGGGATGTTGTCTGGTTGGTCGGCGTCGACGAGTTTGTCGAGCGGGGCGTCGAAGAAGATATCGCGGTAAGTATTGTTTGCGGCGACGAGATTGAAGGGTGCATTTCCCGTTCCCACGACGGTGACGGGGCCTTGGATGAACCCGTCGCCGTTGAAGTGGGTTAAGTAGCCACGGTCACGGAGCGGAGCGAGTTGCTTCATGACGGCGTGCCAGGTTGCCAGGCCTGGGGTTTTGAAGTCGATCAAAAGAATTAGACTCTGGGCCGGGTTTGTGTCGAAGACGCCATGCGCAGGGCTGTCGCCTCCCTGGTTGAACTTGGTGGTTGGGTTCTGGTGCTCGAGGATGGTTATTATCGGGTCAATATACATAGATTGTAGGGTTCGCCGCTCTGTCAGGGAGGATTTGCTGTGGCCGACATAAAGCTCGTCGTCGAAGAGCCAAACGTCGGCTTCGACGCCTATGCATCCCGCTTGCAGTGCGGAGTACAATGGTACCCGGCGCCAGTAGTCGTTATGGGAGTGGCAGCCAACAGGGACGATATCGCGCGAGATATCGGTGGGCCAGCGCGCGTTGTCTACGATGCTAGTGCTGTTGGCGCTATCTAGCCAATTATGAACTGCGCGGTCGTATTCATCCGGGAAGAACGAGAGGACGATACCACAGGCGATGGAGATGAATTGGACGATGCCTCTGTTGTTGGTGATAGGTCAGCGGGTGGATCTTCCTCTCAGACACGGCATGCATAGTTCATGAAACTCACAGCATGATGAATATCCCAATAGTTGCACACCGGAGACTATGTAAGTATCGCGATCGACGAGATCGCTTGCGCTTAGATGGGTCTTCCGATAGCACGGAAGACGTTGGAGTCCCGGCTTGACGCCATGAGCGGGCCGGATACCCCACTCGCTCAGGCACATTGACCTTGGGGTCCTCTGTATCTGAGTCTCTGTATGGATCGAAGTGCAGACTGGATACTGAGCTGCTCTGGGAAGGGCGGGAAGAGGTCATAATGAGTTTGAAAGCAAAAAGATGGGGAGAAAAAAAAAGTAGTGCTATGATAATCTCCAAAGGGTCAAGAAGGCAGCCATGATTAAAGCGGTAAATCGGATTCGTGGGACATTCCAACCTTTTTTGGTTGTTACATCGACATTACGACGACTTTCACAATCTCCGGGATCTATACACGTGCTGTATTGTTGATGCTGATTGATCAGAATTGGGAAAAAAACGAAATATATTTCCATCGCTATATACAAGTACACAAATTCATGCCCCAAACACCCATAGGTTCAGATGAACACACTTTTTTATAGATTTACTCTTGAAGAGACTTGACATAGGTAGCAGCCCGTGCCTTGACCTCCTCAACCATCTTCTCATCTCCATTGGTGGCAGCCAGACCCTCCTCGAAGGAAAGCCACTTCTTAAACAGGAAGCGGGCCTGCTTAGGCTTGAGCTTCTTGCTAGCGTCCACGCTAACGGGACCCTTCTTGCCACTCTGTAGGCCAAGGACACGCTCGAAGAGACGGCGCACTTGCTCCGCATCGCCGACCTTGATCTCTAGGTCTAGGAGAACGTTCCACAGGTCAATACGCTTAGGGAACGAGGATAGGAGACCTTCGAAGACGGTACGACCGCGCTCGACGTCTCCGTTGGCGGAGCGGAATTCGAGCTGGGCGAACTTGGAGGTCGTCTCGACGTGGGTGTGGGCAGGGAGGGACTGAAGGGCGCGTGGGAGCAGAGCCCGAGCGCGATCGGGGGAGGCCATGGTGTCGAAGAGGAAGCTGGCGTAGTTGTAGAAGAACTTGGGGGACTGGGAGGAAACCTTCTTCTTGAGGGCGGCGTAGAAGAGATCACTTGCTTTCTGTGAAATTGTTAGCATCCGTAGAGAGTAAATTTCGAAATGGATTTATACATACCTGGTTCTTGCCAGATTGGATGTAAATACTGATCATCCGCTCGTAGATCTCCTGGGGGTCGTTGTACTGGCAGGCACGCTTGAAGACCTCCTCGAGACTGTCATCGTCACCGTAGGTGTTCTCCATATTCAGCAGCGCAACCCAGATGTTCAGCTTCTCAGCATCCTGGCCCATGGTGATAGTGCGCAAAGCACGCTCAGCAATGGCGCGAGCCTTCTCGATCTCACCAAGCTCTAGCTGGAAGGCCATGTACTGCAGCCACAGCAGCGAGGAGTCGGGCTCACCGAGAAGGAGTCGCTCGAAGTCGGCAACGGACTGAGGACCGTTGGCGTCCAAATCGCCGGTCCGGTCGACCTGGATCTCGGCCTTGCGGTTCTTCTTCTTCTTCTTCTTGGAGCCCTCATCTTCGCTATCGGAGCGAGGAGCGGCATCGGTCTGGGCGGTGCCGCTCCAGTCGAATCCGCTTGCACCGAGACCTCCGGTCTTGCTAGGCTTCTGAATCTGGGTATCTTCATCATCGTCCTCGGATTCCTCCTCCTCCTCCTCCTCCTCCTCCTCCTCCTCGTTGTTATCCTCCACATCAACACCTCCCATGGACTCATCGTCGTCACCCTCTTCTTCGCTGTCGTCCTCGCCGAGTTCGACACCACCAAGACCATCAATGCTCATGCTGTCCTCATCCTCGCTGTCGTCTTCCTCTTCATCCTGGAAGTGGGAAGCCTTGAGTGAGAACGAGATCTTCTTCGTCTCAAGGTCGATCTTAATGACCTTAGCCTTAACAGCATCGCCTTCATCGTAAAGTTTGCGAGCATCTTCGACGCGCTTATCAGCCATCTCACTACGGTGGCAGAGACCACTGATGTTTGAGGACCCGTCAATGACAACGAAAGCGCCGAACTCCTCGACCTTGCGGACCTTTCCGGTGACAATCTGACCAACCTTAAGATCCTTAAGGGTGATGGGAGCCTTGAAGTTGGGGTCCAGAACAGACTCTTTCAAGCTTAGCTGCAGCTTGCCTTGTTCGGCATCAACAAATGTGACCTTACCCTTGATGAGCTGATCCGACTGGAAGGAGTCCTTCCATTCCTTGAGATACGAGTCGGAAAGATCAGACACGCGGACATAAGCAGTGATATCGTTACTGACTGCCACAAAGAGACCGGAATCGGTGACTCGTCGGACGAAGCCACGAATGATGTCGTTGGGCTTGACATCCTTGAGCGAAGAGATCTCACGGTCCTGCACAGGCAGAGAGGAGCTCATGACCTTGGAGGGGCGCAGCGACAAGGCAATCTTCTTGTTCGATTTGTCAACGGCAATAACGCATGCTCGGAGAACCTCGTTCTTGCTGTGTACGGTAGGGTTGGCCTTAGAGTAGTCATCTGCGAGGTCGACCAGGTTGACCGCGCCAACAAGTGACTCGCCGAGCTGCATAATGAGTTGGCGCTCGGTGACCTTGGTAACGCGACCGGGCAAGATCATTCCAACGGAGATATCTCCAAATGCCAGCTTGTCATATCCTTGCTTGGCCGAGAGGTTGAGGTGGCCCTTCTCGGCGTTAACAGCGGTGACCTGGACCTTCAAAGCAGATCCGATGGGGAAATTCTTCTCCATATCAGTCAACAAGGATAGGTCGTCTGATGCATCCATGAAGCGGAGTCTGCCGCGCACGTTGGGAGACAAGTTGACCCAGAGGCAGTCATCAGCGACATTGTTGACGAAGCCTACCCATGAGGAGCCGACTTGAACCTGCTCCATGTTAAGAGGGGCAGGGTTGACGGCCTTGACGTAGCTTGGCTTGAGAGAGAGCTCGAACACAGGGTACTTTCCAGTGCGGTGGCTGATGGGGAGGAACTTGTGGTTACGGGCATCATGGACACCAAGGATTCTGGCGGAGAGAGTCTGCTTGGCCTTGAAGAATCGCAAGGGTTGCTTGCGATCCTTGATATCTTTCCAGTCGTCGAATATCTCGGACACATCAATGCGACCCTGAATGTTATCCGCGAGCTGGACATTGAGCTGGGTTGCCTTGATAGAGACGACCTTGCACTCAACAATTCTGCCGAAGGTGAAGTCGGACATGCTCTTGATGCTGTCATCAACGGGGTTGGCAACAGTCTCGTCAGTCTGCTTGGCAGCTTTCTTGGGAGCGGCCTGGGTAGCCTGAACGGGCTTCATGCTCAGAATGAAGCGCTTGAATTCCCCATCCACAGACTGCACGTTGACAACAATCGTTTGCGCCTTTGACAACCCGTAGTGGGGCTGCTCGAGGTTGGCGTCTTCGATAAGACGCTTGGGAAGCAATCCAGTGAGGCCACCGAGGAACTCAACGAAGACACCGTCGGGTGTGATGTTGCGGACGAATCCTGTCACAAGGGAGCCCTCTTGGACTTCTTCGAACTGGCCCGGGATGTTCTTCTGCTTGGCAGCCTTCTTCAAGCTGGCCCTGCTGGAAACCTTGATCAGACGGTGGGCGCGCTGGATGTTGAGGACCAGAAGGTCGTTCAGCTTCTGGCCTACGCGGAGCTTAGAGAGCATCGAATTTTGCTTAGACGGGGGGCCGTCGATGAGGTGCTCAGCGTCGAGACGGGCGACGAGGCCTGACTCATCAAGCTTGAGAAGCACATCGTCATTGGATTTCTCGAAGACGATTCCAGTAACAAGGTGGCCGGGATGAAGGTTTTCAAAGGCCTCACGATACTTCTCGGTAAATGTCGAGGGGTCCTTGCACGAGACAGCAAGTCTTCCAAGAGATGCATCCACGCTCAAAGCATGAACATTGACGACCTGGCCGAGTCTGAAGTGCTGGGCCGGATCCTGGATGTAGGCTTCACTCATTTCGGAGACAGGAAGGAAACCACGGACCTCGCCGTAGAACTGCACAACAGCACCATGGCTCTGAAGGTTGACAATGGTACCAGGAGACTGAGCCGAAGGAGTGATATCTTTGTAGTCCTTCCAGATAGTAGATTCGCTGTTGAGCAAACTCTTCTTCAGGGTCAAACGAATTTGGCGTTTTTCAAGGTTAACAGACAGAATTCTAAGCGAAAGCTTCTGGCCTTCGCGGAACTTCTTCTCTGGGAACTGAAGCATAGTATCCGCAAAGTGCATGGAGGGAACAAGACCAGTGATTCCATCGGCCAGGTTGACAATCAATCCATTCATACCATCAGCACCGATCAGAAGCTTCTCAACCTTTCCTTTGACAATAGCACCCACATTCACATCCTCGATGCGAAGGAAGGGCTGCTCGATAACGCTCTTCTCAAACGAGAGAATGTAGAGGTTATCAATCGAGTTGTACCCAATGACTCTTGCCTCGTGGACGGCGTCCAGCTGGAAAGCTCCAGAACTTTCATCAATTGTTTCGACCTTGCCATCGGAGAGTCTCGACATGTGAACGAAGCCCATGTGTTTTGTCTCTCCAATCCGAGCATACACACCCAGACCGTGATCAACTTTCACGACCTTTACCTCGGGGATGATTGCAGAAATAGCAGGCGCATCGTCAGAAGAACCGGGACCGCGAGCATCGGAAGAGAGCTTGAGGACGTGGTCGAGCAAAGAAAAACTGACCTTGAGCGGCTCAGCAGCCGGGAAAGTTGAAATAATACGGCCCTTAATTTTCGCGCCAATCTTGTATTTCTTTTCCAGATCAATCTTGCCGTTGATGCTAGACTGGACCAGGTCAACGGTTGCATCGAGCATTCCCATAATCTTTCCGATCATTCCATTCGCTGTGACTTCCGTGAGAAGAATTTCTGCGGCGGTACCGGGGAGGAAAGTGTTGATGGTAGGGGCCGAGCTGAGGTAGTTGGACTTCTTGATCGAGGCGGACGTTTGGAAGTTGGAGGACAGCTTGATGACATTGCCACTGGGGTTCTGACCAGTGACCATGCAAAGGAAGACAGAGCCTTCCTTGATGCTAGAATAATCCACACTAGGGTCGGTCTCCTTGGAGGACATGAAGCCCTTCAGCTCTGAGCCTTCAATGCCAAGATCCATGACCACACCGTGATCTTCCACACTGACAACGGACGCTTGGACAGCCGAGTTCACAACAAGATCGGATTTCGAGAAGCCAGTGTTTGTTTGTCTAGGGTCGACTGAAAGCTCAATTCGTTTCTTGCTCTTTGCCTTGGGGTCATCGGGGTTGCTGCCAGTAGACACAACGAATGCCCGCAGATATTGACCCAAATAGAAATGATCCTTCAAGTCGAAGGACTCGTCGTCGGAGCTGTCCTCGGCATCGTCATCTTCACCTTCGTCATTCAACATCTTCTCGAGTCTGTCTTCGAGGCCCTTTGAAACGGATGTGAGAGGGACGTAGCCGGTAAGGTTGTTCGGCAGCGAAAGGCCGATGTCGTGGGCGTTGATACTCGAGACCTGACCTAGGATCATGGCTCCTGGTACAATGCGCTGCAATTGTTAGAGTGATGCGATATGAAAACTTTTTCTAGAACGTACCTTGAAGCTAAGACCCTCGATGCGAACATCTTGCTTGTCACCAGTTTCCTTGTCCGCGGACTTCTTGCTCTTTGACTTCTTCTTGCGAGACTTCTTGGTAGTCGTGGCGGTTTCTTCATCCTCCATTTCAACATCGTTGTCGCTTTCCTCAGCGAATTCGTTGGAAGGCGTCTTCTGGGAGGGTTTCTTGTTTCCAGATTCTTTCTGCTCGAACAAGACATCTCTGTTGGCCTGGATCTGAATTTGCTTGCGCTCCAATGGTGTCAGAACACTTGCGCCACCACGAGGGAATGAGGGCTCATCATCGCGCAGCACAGAAAGTTCTGAAGCTTTCCCAGCGGTGGATGTGGTGGCATCAGTTGACTTCTTGTGGTCTTTCTTGGCCTCCTCCGCTCCAACTTTAGCACGTTTTTGGGGCTGGCGGGCAGTATTTTCTTCGGGGGCATTCCCCTTGCGCTTGATTGGCGCCATTCTTAAACTGGCAAAACCGAATCGTGCAGTTGCAGATTGCGGTCTAATTCCTCAAGAGAAAAGATAAAAAAAATTCCGCGGACACGGCAGAACCTGCTGAGCGGTATAGAGACATGGGGTCATGAGTCAGCAAGTTTATGCCTGAATCCCAAGGACAAATACCCTAAACTCCCGCCAAGATCTGTACCTACATACTAGGACATCGACTTTCATTATTCACTAAAAATCTAGAAGAAACAAAGTGGACAATATACATGATTTATTGGTTCCTTACCAAGAGTATCTTTACGGGAATGGCTTCGCATCTCTTCTTATATGGCGTTAGGCTAACACGGTGTTTCTTTTCTTGTGAACTTCTTTAACTTTCCATCAAAGGTCGGACGAATCATCGTGCTCAGCCCTCTCCTTTCTCTTGTCGCGCTTCGCTTGCCATTTGAGGATAAAGAAGATACTAACAAAAAGCACGGAAGCGAAGACGGATAGACCAAGATAGAGCTTTGCGCCAATATGCCAATGGGGTGCCTGCGCAGCGGGATATGCGGCAATGGGTAGGAATGCACTAAACAAGTATGAGAACAGAGTCCCAGTCGCGAAGAGAACCGTTCGAACTTGAGGTTCTTTCTCTAGATGTGCAGATGCCCAGGCGCAAAGAAGCATAGTCGAAACCCTGTCCTAGTTAGAAGAAATGAAATACATGTGCACCAAAGGGAATGTAATACTCACGCCCCAACATAGTTCATATACCAGCCAGCCATGTAGGCACTCTGACTTTCAGGTCGTATTATTAAAATGATCAGTGACGTGATATTGATCACCTGAAGTTCGGATTAGTATCGGGTTCTTGACTCTGCTGGGTTGCCTTACTGAGTGAAGAAGCAAAAATGGTAGCCGAGTACCAAGATAATCGCTGAAGCCACTGAACAAGAGTTCCGCAACTAGTTGGAGTGCCTGGCCTGCAATTGGTAGATAATTGAGCATACCAACCGAGCTAGATGGCTGATTAGTGCAAGCGCTTAAGACATGAAGTAGTACTCACTATTTCAAGCTCCCATCGGCGTTTTTGAGAGACTTGAGCCAAAGGTTGAAATAACTTGAAGGCGTGGTGTTGGCTCCGATAGACCAGGCAACTATGAAAAAGCTTGGTTAGATCATTCGACTTTCATTTGAACGAAATCCTGCATTAGCTCACTTGAAAATAACCAGACATGCCAAAATTTGAAGCATCGCAGGAAAGTTTTGACGTTAATTCCAACCTGTGGATCACGGCCTATCCTTCGAGTTCGCTCTTCAGCGACAACTTGAATGAAGTATCAGCAAACACTTTCTGAATATAGGTTTTAGTGTATATTTCCATACCGATATCCCGAGGTCTGAGATAAAATTTGGTGAGAGGGTTGGGGCGATCCGGCTAGATACGTCCTGTCAGTCTAACACAGGGGATGACAAGAAGTCGGTTCGTACAAAACCTGGTAAAAGCATGAAAGCCAATAAGGCGATAAAGATAGTGCAGACACCCTGTAGAGTTAGCACAACTCTGTTGGAAATCGCAAGGTGAGGCTTACATTGATGATAAATGCCCATCGCCAGCCGGCTCGGCCAAGAGCATCTTCCAGATTAGTTGAAAGTGCGCCTTGCATCGCGCCAGATAACATAGCCCCAACGGGTTGGGCAATGTTGTAAAGACTCATTCGGAGAGCCATTTCATGAGGCAAGTACCATTGGCTAAACCGCAGAGTCAGCATGCGTGCTTCTTGGGGTAGAGTGGAGTATATTGACCTGATGATGGTAAAATAACCTGGCCAAGTTGCGCCTTCGAAAAAGCCAATCAGGAAGCGAAGGCCATAGACCTAAAGAAAATACAGTCAATTCGAGATGAAATAGATGGATCGGTTGTCTATACCTGTTTTGCGTTGGTGACGGTGGATAAACAGCAAGTCAATATACCCCAAATGACCTGAGACTTTGTCAGCGTTTTTGAATAGCAAAAATTGATTTTTGCTTACCTCGCAGGTGGGTAGCCAAATTGATGGGCCAACGTGGGAAATTATAATGCATGAGGGATATAGCATGATCATGTAGCCAATACTGTTATTGTCAATAAGGACGCCTCACAAAAAGAGCACCGATGACTTACTTGAAGAAAGTGGTAAAGTAATTCAGCTCATTTCCATAAAGTTCCAAATCCGTTTCCATTCCGGAAACATAGGCGTTGCTCTGGTGGGTCGTTAGAATAGGATATTTCTCGGGGCTGCTAATAAACATACAATGTTGGTTTGATCTAAGTACTTGAATGCATAGCCTAGAAAGCCAATCGTCAAGAAGAAGATATCCAGTCGCCATACCTGTGTTGAATAAATCAGAATTCCAGGCACACAAATGAGAGAGGGAGTAGACATACCAAGGACCTCTCCTCTTTTGGGTTAATTTCTGCGACTGGAGAAACTGTACTGGTAGCATTCTTCATGTTGGAGCTTATTTGAGTGCTCATATTTTAGTGTCTCTATGACACCTGCTATAAAAAGCAGATCGAGAAAGCGGACTTTTCGCGTGTGACACTGAAGGATGAAGGTTCGCTGTGAAAGATACCATATGATATAGTTTTATCGGTGTACTATACTATTGCTAAAAAGTATTTCCGTAACTCTCTTGCCTTAATCTATTAGGCTTTCCTGTAGACGTTGATATGGGGGGCAGAGTGGCATCACCGGCGTAAATAAAGGCGTGCCTGATGCTTGTTTTGATTAAAGCTCGACGCCTACGACGACCTTAGGATCGTTCTAGCTATATTGTAAATTAGTTCAAAGTATAGAAGTAGCACAAATTCGCTTTTTTTCGTTTTAACTATTCTATTCATCTAATTGGGAATTTCAAAACTGCGTAGCGATTGACATCGGTTTGGGGGATGTATGGCACCATTATAGCCACAATGGTGAGGCTTTTGTAAATAGTCTAGCGTCACTTTATCGGAGTAGCAATATAACATGCATATTATGCCATAGGGCTATTCATGCGCTTGATACCTGGTTCTACTACTAAGCTACCTAACAATTTTTATTACTACCTGCAATATATATTCCAAGGTTACAACATATAAAAAGCCCCACGCGCTCATAGCTTAGGAGACTCCAGTGCTAGATATTTATAGCATTCGTCCACAAGAAATGATAGGTAGAAAGATGTACAAATGAGGCAATATGCATACATTTTAAGAATCATGGCAAGCTTCTAAAAGTAACGTTTATAAAACTTCAAGATACTTTGTCTGGTCGACCTAAGCAACTTCTTTGCTCTCTGAGAATCCTGTGATATCTGCCTCACTACCCAGCGGCTTTCCATGCTTGTGAAATTCCCGAAGAGGCGTTTTCTTCCGGAACAACTGGTCAATTTCTTCGAATGATCTTCCTTGGCATTCAGGCACACAGAAGTAAACAAAAGCAATCGAGGTGATCGAAAGACTTCCATAAATAAACCCAACCTTCGACTGAAGGTTTGCATAACCAGTATCCAAAAGATATGGTAGACTGAACGAAACTGCGAAGCTGAACGTGAAATGTTAACATTCCTGTCCCACATATTGGTTGAAAAGTAGTGTCAACATACAATGTAAGAACATTTGCAACAGACGCAATCCGCTGTGAGTTATCTCGCAAGCGCAGAGTTGGTATCTCGGTAGTCACGACGTATGTTAATGCTGCCCATCCTACATTGAAGCCCACTGTGAACAAGGAAAGCATTGCAACAATGGCTGACTTCTGAGAATAAGATGGAGTATGTACTCCGAGTCCTCCCATGATAAGAAGTGATGTTGCCTGGATTGCCGCACCGATCAGAAGCAAGGGCCTGCCAACGTCAGTCAAGAACCCCTGTTTAGGGATGCGAGCTCACCTTCTTCCAACTCTATCATTGAGGTATAGACATAGTAGAACTATGACGAGTCCGATAAAACCATTGATAACGTTGAAGTTGAAACTGTTTATAGTTTGTAGGGATTTCACATACAGAGTGCCATATTGCGATGCGAATGCCTGCCCTGTAGCCTGTTGGAAAAAGTTGAGTCCAACAACAATCGCTGTTCGCTTTCGGTTAGATTTCGAGAATAGTTCCTTGAAACGACCTTGCTCTGGTTCACTTTGCAACCCCTTTTGGATTGATGCGAATTCATCTTCAATCTCATCCGAAGTGAACGCTCCTTCTCGTATTTTCTGTAAGTTGATTCGCGCCTCTTCCATGCGGCCTTGGATGAGAAGCCATCGAGGGGACTGCTTAAGCTTAGCCCTTTGGGAAATGAAAGAAAGACGAAGAATTCAGAAGTTCTCACCTCTGGAATAAACCATATGAGAGATGCTATGATGGTCGGAATGATGAAGAAAAGCCCCAAAGGTATCCTCCACGAACGGTCATCGTGTATCTTGCTAGTCCCATTGCACACCCAGCCAATGACCATTCCTCCGAACTGAAACTTTCTGTCAGTATAACTTACTTATTCATTCTGTATAAAACATTATCACTTACCGTAATGGTCAACTGGTATGTGCCCACCATGAAGCCACGAATTTGGGTTGGAGCGATCTCGGACTGGAAGACTGGAACAACAGAGAGTTCCATGCCAATATATATGTCTGGCTATGTTAGAAGTGATTCAATAGGAGAAGTTCAATAGACGCACAATTCAAGATCCTGGCGGCTAATATTTGATCACTGGATTGAGACGTAGTGGTAATTGTGGCAGTACCTAGAGCATAGATGCTCATGACAAACATGCACCATCGGCGACCAAATTGAGCACTTATAAAGCTGCCAATGACAACACCTGAAGGCTGGTTAAAAATGAAGGTGCTTATGATTCCTCACTGCGTACCACAGGCGAAGGTCAGATACGGGAGTCCGTTGAAGTATGACTTCCACTGAGTGTCGAGGGCCCAGGTTTTCGCTTTTGCATCGTAGACTCCAAATTTCTTTTCGAAGGCATCCATGGCCTGTGTTTGGGCAAAGCCTTGGTTATCGAAAGCATAGTTAAAGCTGGAGAGAGCGATCAGGCTGCATGATAATGCTAGCCGTTTGTTGAAGTATTTTCGCACATCGTAGTGGCCGATCATTGTGGCGTGAGTAGGGCAAAAAAAAACTCTAGTCCGATTTTATTTCCCAATTCAACATGGTAATACTACTGTATTTCTATGCTTGTCTTATATAAAATAAGATCCATGGTAGTTGAGGATTTGTTACGTGTGGTAGACTGTCCTAGCCGGCACCGGCTATTTACTAGCCGCCAACTGGAGAGAGACAGGATTATCTAGAATCTAAAAGCACGCAATATCAAAGGTTATACATAGTATGCCCTTTTTACCGCCTTCGTGTAAACCCAAAATGATCTCTAAAAAGACAATGACAAGGTCACATAAGCGGCCGACTATTCTTGTTCACTATCAAAGAGAAATTTGGACATTTGAGTCCATTAGATAAGCCAGAGACATATGCGAATAAACATTAACTAGAAGCTATCGGGAAATATATTGACTGCATACCACCTTTGCTGATTGGTCAAAGACCTCGGTTCAACTCCGGGGAACAAGAGGTCGCAATCCAAATGGCGGAGCACGCAATTATATATTCATCCTAACGGCCCGGGCTGGGAAATTCAAAATTTGCCGTTGCGGGTGTCTGATAGCCGCTTGCTCTTGGAGAGAGCACACAACTCTTCCGGACTCTTGAAAATGGACTCGACATCCCCGGCAGCGGCTCCCAGCACAGCGGCCCACTTAACGCAAAGTGGAACAAAACGTCTTCGTACCAGGAAAGCTTGCAGGCCGTGCCATCTGCTTAAGGCTAAATGTTCTGGATCGTTGCCTACCTGTCAGCGATGCAGCCAAAAAGGGATACCATGCGAATATGCATCGTCAAAGCCGGGTAACGGGACACGAACACGGCGAAGAGCCATCGCATCGAGTGAGACTCAGCAAAATCACCCACTGTTATCACCGTTGATATCTCCTAAACAGACAGCGAGTGTAGGGTGTTCCCTTCAGGCTTTGCCATCGCAAAAGACAAGGACCGAGGACGCTATTTCACACGGAGAAACCCATAGCAATGGGGTGAATTATCACTCGAGCAAGGAACTTGGAGTGGAGAAGAGTGTAATCAGGCTCTACATCGACGCCTACTTTGAACACATCGCACCGCTTTGTGAGAATGGCTTTGTTCACCGCGCTATTTTCCTACAAGCCTGGAACTCTGGAACTGTCGACCCAGCGCTATTGAAGGCAGTTTGTAGTGCATCGGCGGGATTTATGTCAACAGATTCCGTCACAGCTGAACAAAGAGAAAGGTGGCGTACTGAAGCAGAGGCGCATGTTTGGTCAAATATCGGACGACCATCTCTGGTCGTACTTCAAGTTCTCGTGGTGGTAATTTCCCAAAATTGTGCATTATCCCGATTTCTCGCTTTGCAACCGCTGCTAGGAATTGCTGCGAAGATGGCATACATGCTCCGGTTGAATCATGAAAACACTCAACTATCCACAACAGCTCGCGAAATTCGTCGCCGTATTATGTGGTCAATATTCATTTTGGACAAACGACTTGCGGCTGGACAGTCGGACCTGATATCGTGTCCCAAAGAGCAAATGCATATACAACTACCATCGAACGAGAGAGACTTCGAGCTCGCAATTTCTGGCGGAACAGGTACTCTTATACCAACGCAGATTGATGAAGGTGACTCCACCAGCATGGGCACCAGAGCATACTTTTGCCAGCTCTCTAATATTCGGCATGAGATTCTTCAGTGAGAGATTCTACAGCATGAATTAATTATCAATGCTGACTGATGGCTAGGTACACCAGAAGAGTAATTTCCGAAGGTTCAAAAGCACACGACTCTCGTGGCGAGCTCCTCCAACTGGAATCTGACTTACAAAAACTGAAACGCTCACTGCCTGAATCAATGGCCTTTAGCGAGCGTAATCTTAACCTACGAGCTTACTCTCCACATTTGAAGCGATACGTTATGTTACATACGATGTGGCACCAATGTCACTGTGACTTGTATAGATTTCTGCTACCTGGAATTCGGGAATCCCTGCCCGATGAAGTTCTCAATACGACGCTACCTGAGTATGCAATTTATTGTCAAACACGAGCAGTTGAGCATGCAAAGGCACTTGTCGAGATATTTGGAACGGTTCAGAAGGTTTGCGGTCAAACTCCACAAGATCCGGGGATCAGCATTTGTGTATTTCAATGCACACGGATTTTAATACGAGCTTTTGACATTGGACTTCTCGGAAGTCATTCAACTAGTATTGAGATACTTTACCAGCTTAAATCTGTTGCGAAAATACTCTTGCCTATTACCGCGGCAAACCAGTCCGCTGACCAACTGGTAAGTTATATTCTTCATGTCTTGACAGGAAAATCATGTCAGCATCTCTTTATTCTCAAGCATAATACTAATTATGGTTTATTATTCAGTACAAAGAGACTGAGAGGCTCATAAGCATCGCGGTTGCTGGGGGTTCCTCCCCAGACTCAATGACAAAAGCCTCACGGAAAGAGCACATCCGTGACAACAACATACTCGATATTCTAGCTCGCATTCGTCGGCGTGATATTGAGCAAGGAGAGGAAGTTCTTCATCAGTACCCAGCAAGCCCTCCTGTCACCACTCCGACCGGATCGGAAGTACCGTCGGACAGAGAAACGGGTGCCGCCAACGAAAGAACAGGAATTTTAGAGGAATCTCTGTGGTATACGGGACTCGGACCAGAGCACATGTTTGGCTCACTGGATACTGTATTCGATGAATTTGGGGGACCATCTATGAATTTCGATCCTCAAGATCTTGAACAATTGTACGGGAATCAATCATGACATTAGATGCACATGGATTATAGTAAAAATTCTTAATGTTTAATGGCCTGCGAGCAGCTAACATTGATCTCATTGCACCCCTTCGGTGCCAATTGATCCAAATGATATTAGAAATTCCCATGCCACTCAGAGTGTTTCAGTCCTCTTTCTATATTGTTCCTCTGGACTCTCAAGATTCACCGGAGGAAATCTAGGATCCTTTTGAAACGGGAGAAAGTCCGATGTCTGCATCATCCAGCGAAACATCTCTGCCTGCATCTCTCGAACAATATGATCAAATTGTGGATCTGCAGCGACGTTGTGAATCTCAGCGATATCAGTCTTCCTGTTGTACAATTCGGCTGGTTCGTACAGCCGATACACATACGCCCAGTCTGCACTTCTCATGGAAACTGCTTTTCCAACGATCTCGGTATCTTCATGTTGCAGAACAGACTTGATATCATATGGATAGGGCGCTTGCTCGAGGAGCGGCTCTTCCGATTTGAGGAAGCCCCCTTCGGTGTATGCGTAGAGCTTTGGGTGCTTCTGATTCCCAAGTATTGCCGGCAAGAGCGAAACGCCATTGTGCGGAAAGCTCTCAGAGACCTTACATAGCTCGAGAACAGTTGGGAGCAGATCGACCATCTCACAAATGTCATCGTTGGTTTTACCGACAGGTAAACCGGCACCGCCTATGATGAGAGGTTCGCGAGCAAGGACTTCAGACACGCCGCTAGGCCACTTCTCAATCATACCATGGTCTCCAAGGTATTCTCCGTGGTCGGTGTAGAATGCGGTGACCGTGTTTGATACCAAACCCGTACTTTCCAATGCAGTCATGACCTGCCCGAATTGCGTATCGAGACGAGAGATCATCCCATAGTATGTCGCTGTAATTTCAGCCCAGATTTCATCGGTTGCCCGTTCTGTGCCATAGCGCTTGCGATTCTCTTCAAAATATCTCGGTTCGTAACCTGTTTTCCGCTCTGGCTTGGTTGGCATTGGCATCTTCTTGCGGTCATACATGGAGAAGTACGGTTCCTCAACTTGAAATGGACAATGGGGGAATATCAGTGGTAGGTAAAGAACCCATGGACCCCTAGGAGGGTTTTCTAACCATTTTATAGCAGATCGCACAGCAGCTTCATCATAGTCAACTGTCTTGTCCTGACTGCGGAGGCCCTTGTAGAACAAACGGTCCCAGATATCTTCTGACACATCCGGTTCTACACCTCCCTTTCCAAATTTTGGCATCCACTCCGGCGGAACGAGAAAGCCATATTCGGTTACACTCAACTCTGTGACCGTGGGCGCAAAGGTATCGCCCCTAGGAGCCAAACATGCAACGTGGTATCCGCTTTCCTTCAGCGCACGAAACATGTTAGGTTCCCAGGGCTTGATGAGATTTTCCAAACTTCGATGGCCTGACACATGTGGATATTGCCCTGTGTAGAGCGAACATCGGCTTTGTGAACATACGGTGGCTTGCAAATAGCAATTCGTGAATTTGGTCCCCCGCGCAGCGAAGGCGTCAATATTGGGTGTGCGAACATGGGGGTTTCCGAAACAGCCAACGGAGTCATAACGAAGCTGATCTGGCATGAATATCACCAGATTTGGGCGAGGTTCTGCCGTTTGACTTGTGGCGTCGTCAATTTGACTTGATGGGTTGTCGAGGGCGGGCAACGGGAGCCTAACAGGGGCCATAATGCTTGATGTTGTGGTTTTTTGTGAATTTTGATTATGCTGCACGAGAATCTCGAACGTTAAATCATCAATTGGAAATTTGCTTCATACTTGGAAATGCCTTTTTTTCTTTTTCTTCTGCTTCTACTGGCAGCCGGTGGGCTAGTAGCCGGCAACGGCCCGTGAGGCAGCCGAACGGATATCAGCCTAACTTATGCCGCGACGGAGTGTAAACCAAAGTGCGAAGAAACAAGAAAAACCTCGGCAAAGCTGAAAAATCTGTGTTATTGTTATTGTTATTGTTATTGTTAGCGTTGCATTGCTTATAAAACACCACCCCTTGAATAAAACCAAGCTTTTGTTTCATCAATGCCCAATTTAGTCACAAGAAGCATCTTCCCAAACAAGTCCACATCATCCGGCTTCGCGTCCTGAAGCAGTCCAGTAAAATCTGCATTATAGACAATAAAGTGTTGGTTTTCCGTCCAAGCTACTGCAAAATCGAAGGCACTTTGCGCATTCCATAAATGCGCAGACTGATACCATGCATGCTCGAGTCCAAGCTTTCCATCACAGCTAGAGAGCGGCTTGCCTTGTAGGAAGTGTTGGATCTTCACAAAGTAGAACACCATCATCACAGTGCGCCGCGCTGATTCTTGGAATACCCATGATTCCCAGAAGCTCATTACTGGTTCTATGGAGATAGGGAGGAGCTCGCAGGGTTGTGAGGGGTGTGGTATATGAATGCAGTTGAAAAGAGATAGTACTGATGCCTCGAGTAGAGCCAATAAGGATTCCGAGGATGGTTGTGTGCGGATGCCACCGTCAAATAAACGCATTATCAAGTATAAAATGAGCGCGTGGATTCGAGCAAGCAGTTCCAGTAGCGTGGTAGGCGGTGGGGCAGAGAGAAGATCGTTTATGCGAGAATCGAATATGGACATCAAAACCGGTGAATTTGTATCATTTTTGCTCATGTAGAGGGAACAACAAGCGAATGCATCTATGATAAGCTTAGTATGGCAATTTGCTATAAAATGAAAAAAATTGATGTCAGTGAACAAACCTTGCATGTCCTTCGGCATATCACTTTTATAAAGCTGACGATGACACCATGGAGTTTGGTTCTCAGTGACTACCATTTTGGGGATGTTCTGGAGCACATCCACCGCGAACTGTAGTCGATTGGCTAATACATCTGAGAGCCGCTTTGGGGAATTCGTTCTTGTCATGGCGAGATCGAAGTTCTGCGATGAGGGCAGGCCTTCGAAGATATCCACCCGATCTTCCGGGGGTATTAAATTGATGTAACGGCAGGGCGAGTCGATAATAATAGGATGAAGTGGGCCCGTATTGACCCGGGTCATCAAGTCAGAGTCACGATTGCATTGAGTAGAAGCGGTGCCAATCATCTCATCATAATTCGTAGATGCCGGAATATCGGCAATAACATCGGCGCAGGTTTGGGACAGCCTGCCGGGGTAAAAGCACGGTATGCTTTTGTGGATACATCTTGAGCAGGCCGGGAATGATAGGTCGCAGCGCCGTTTGGCTAATTTGCATGCTTCGCATGACTTCCGCCGCGAAGTTGCTGTGCCTTGACCCGCATAAAGCATCGTCTCTTTGAGACTTCTCGAAGGCAAGGTTGAGGAAGAGAAATGTTCCAGGCTTGTGGGTCCGAAGTGGAATTCCGCCCGCTAGTGGAATGGGGCTTTTGGTTCACCAATCAGAAGTCGCTTTGGGGTCGGGACGGTGGCGGACCGAGTGGAGTTCCGCAATTGTACAATATGTACAACATATAGAAGTGTCTGTCAACGTGGATATATCGTGGTATATAAGGACGTAGGTCGCACACAGATTCAATGTAGAAATTACAAGCACAAAGCCTCATACTTTATTCTCATACTTTATTTCCGAATTTCAAATGTCTTCTCCGACCGTCTTCGTCTGCGGCGCCACTGGTACCCAGGGCGGTGCTTTGATCGACCATCTGCTCAAAACCGATGTCAAAATACATGCCGTTACGCGCACCCCCGACTCGGCTGCTGCCCAACGTCTTAAATCACTCGGCGTCCTTATTACGGAAGGCGATTTTGACAACGATGATTCCGTCAGAAAGCCCATGGCCAATTGCACAAGCCTTTTCCTGAACTTGATGCCTGCGTTGACGGATTTGAATGCAAGTTTCGAACAAGCATGCCGACTTCTCAAAATTGCCAAGGAAGCTGGCATCAAGCAAGTCATGTATACCAGCGGATTGTCTGCCAATGACCCCCAACGCCTCAAATTATGGGATCCGACCAGCATCATTAGCACCATGATGCTCAACAAACATGATATTGAAAACGAAATTCGCAAAGCGGGATTTGAAAACTGGACAATTTTGCGCCCGGGTAACTTCATGAACAACTACCTATCCCCGAAGACAATGATGTACCCGGGCTTCACGAAAACCGGAGTATTCACCACTGCTTTCGCTCCGGATACCTTGTTGCCCATGGTTGATCCCAACGACATTGGCCAATTTGCAGCAGCAGCAGTCTTCGATCCTGTCAAGTTCAACCACCAAGAAATTGAGATCGCTTCGGAATTTTTGGGAGTCGACGCCATCATCCAGTCTTTATCCCGTGCCACTGGAAGGGAAATGAGCGTTGTCTATATGTCAGATGAGGAAATCAGCGAACAGAAGGCTACCAATCCCTTCATTGCCGGTCAACTCATGGCCCGTGATCTAGTATCATTTGTGGATTTGAACAAAGTCAAGGCGTGGAATATTCCGCTGGGGACCTTCGAGCAATTCTTGCAGCGAGAAAAATCGAAAGTTGATGCGACATATCTTTGAATTGCAATTGGCCCGAGAGTACAAGTGGGTGGAGGAATGAACGGGATCATTGTTGGGCGGCTTAAGGGCACTGCAGGGAATCCCAATTTTTAAGCCAGGGGAAATATCTGATGTTGTCATGTTCCGTGAATTGTTAATTTTTAGCAATCAATGTAGTAGTTGTTGTCTGGAATAGAACAGTGTTGACATCGAGCCCAGATGCTTAGTGATTCCACGCGTTTTGGGACAAAAACACCAAAACAATTAAGCCTAGGGATTAGTCCAAGCCAATTTGGCGTTAGATAACCTAGATAACTGTAAAGGAGGAATAATTTGTATTGAAGGAGTTCCAGATGGTCAATATTAAGAGTGGAGGAGGGTGGTAAAGTGCCTTGGATGCCTTGACACGATCGCGTCACGTCGCGACACGAAAAAAAGATCCAACTTCCCCGATTCATCTCTCCCCTTTAGTCTTTAACCGCCCAGACCTCCACCAATGCATCCATAGCTT